TCGTGGACACAGAGACTCAGGACCAATACATTTTGAAGGTCAATAATTTAAATCTAGTGTGTTAGACATTATTTTTGTGTTAGTATTTTGAGTTACTATTTTTTTAATTTTTTTTTAGGTGAAACTGGTGGTGATGATAAATATACAAATGAGGGTAATTTTCGTGCCATTCTAAAATTTAAAGCAAATGACCTAGACTATTTAAAAGAACATTTAAGTTCTAATTCCCGGTACAAGTATACAAGTCCAAACATTCAAAATGAAATAATTAATATCAGTGGAAACTTAATACTTGGAAAATTAGTACAAATGGTAAATTCTGCTGAATGTTTTTCGGTGTTGGCAGACGAAACAACAGATGTGTCACTAAAAGAACAACTTACATTATGTGTTCGATACGTTAATGGTTCAGGAGACAGTGTAAAAGTACATGAAAGTTTTTTGAAATATATAGAAATACATAGTTTAACAGGAAAAGATGTAGCGTCTGCAATTCTTGAAGGTACTATTACAATATAATAACATTAATATTAACATACAATTGAATGCAATTATTATTTACTAGGTTTAAACTCTTGTGGTATTGACTGTACTAAAATGGTTGGCCAAGGCTACGATGGAGCAGCAAACATGTCTGGAAAATTTAAAGGAGTGCAAACTGTGATAAGAAATTTATATCCAAGGGCCATTTTTGTTCATTGCGCAGCTCATTCATTAAATTTAGCAGTTTCATCTGCATGTGAAGTTCAATCCGTTAGAAACTGTATGGGTATAGTGGGCAAAATGCATAATTTTTTCAATTCACCAAAACGAAATAATGTTCTTTTGGAAGCAATTATCAACAGCGACCTAAACCCTTCAGCAAAATCACTCAAACGATTATGTGTTACACGCTGGGTTGAACGATATACAGCAATCAATGATTTTGTTGAACTTTTTCCGTCTATAGTTGATGCATTAGAAGAAATACCAAATAAATTTAATGACATTTCTTCGGTGTCTGATGCAAATGTATTACTGAAATCAATGGACTCTGAGTTCTTAATTGCCCTTCAAGTTGTAAAAGTAGTTTAAAATAATTATTTTGTATCAAAATATTTGTATGATTTCAAAATGTAACATTAAACAATAATAATTATTATATGATTTCTTCTAGGTGATGTTTTCTTACGGTCTGCCTCTATGTAAATGTTTACAAAAAAGTGACATAGATCTTAAAGAAGCTGTCGAATTAGCTCAATGTAATATTTCAACACTTGAACATATAAGGAAAAATATTGATAAAGAATTTAAACTAATGTTTAAAGAAGCCGAAGTAAATATAATATACCTAATTAAATTCAAATTAAATACCATTAATTTTAATTTTTAAATTCAATTAGAAAATGGCTTTAATTTTGGACATCAACATTTCTGTAAAGAGATTAAACAAACGTCAACAAAATCGGCCAAACCCTTTTGCATGTGTTGAGTCAATGAATCCTGAAGACTACTATAGAATTACCATAGCAATACCTTGTATAGATTCTTTTATAAGTAATTTAAAAGAAAGATTTCTTACTCATAAGAATATTTTTGAAGGTCAGTTTCAACCAATTTTAAATGATATTTTTGTATAAAAATATATTATAAATTAATTATGTTTTTTAGGTTTCCAGTGCTTATTTTCCGATGAAATAGAATATGAAGCATTTGAAGAACTTGTCAGATTTTACCTGGACTCAGACACTCAGATAGTCATTGCTGAATTAAGAATATGGCAATCAAAACTGAAAGCAAATAATAAAAACCCTAAGGCAGCCATAGATGCTTTACGTTTATGTACACAGTCAATTTTTCCAAATATCTATAAATTATTAAAAATATTATGTACCATTCCAGTATCTACATCCACTCCCGAGAGATCATTTTCATGTATGAAACGACTAAAAACCTATTTAAGAAACTCAATGACTGAAGTAAGGAGTACATATTTTTATTAATATTATAACTTCGTATATCATATTTTATATAATTATATTTCATTCATAGAATCGTCTTAACGGCTTAACATTGTTGGCCGTTCATAGAGAAATTCCAATTGATGCCAAAGAAGTTCTTGATGTGATGGCTCAAAAATCAAGAAAACTGGATATAATTTTGTAGAATTAATATTTTAATTAAAAATATAGTATTGTTATAATTTAATGTATGTTGTTTTTTAATTCAAAAAAGGGGTGGGGGCTTTGCTACCACGGCTCACCGTTAAATAAATTTTCATATCCCCCCCCAATAAAAAATCCTGAGAACGCCTCTGTCAAAAATATATGTAAAATTGTGTAATACTCATATTATAATACTACTACTCTAACTACATACCTACACGTATTTCTGCTGCTCTTAATGTAATTTAGAAAATGTATTTTTGTTTACATATTGTACATGTAGTGAATATTTAAATGATAATCAGTGCATAAATGCATGCATATTTCGTACATTTTTAGTACATATAATTCCAAGCCCTAGACATAAATCATAATATTGAATAAAAGGTGGAACTTCTTAAATATAAGTTTTTTAATAAATGGTTTTTTTTTAATAATTTTAGGAACACCAGTGGGAACCTTAACACCAGTCGTGACGATAATGATGATGATTGCAACACTCAAGTTGATACAGGTAAATAGCAAGATACAGTATTTCTGGCTGTATGTCTAGATTCCTTTTTTGTGTAATAAAAAAAATCAAGGTATTTGATGTGTATTATACAGACCTTAAATATTGTATAGAAATGTACGCTCTTCCTGTGTTTGCTGTAATTTTACAAATAGTGGCACTCAACAATATTAGTTAGATTTGTTAAATAATGTATTAGATGTGAGATGATCATTTAAAGTTTAAATCACTGTGACTATTAAACAGAAATTAAAAGGATCCGTGGCCTTTATTATTTCGTGGAAAACTTAATAACAGATAATAATACATTTTTAACCAAAATATTTCTGTTCCCTAATTGATAGATATTACTTATTACTACTGTCTACTATATTATATTGAACTGTAGTATTTTATTGTTTTTTTTATTTAATTTAGAAAGTTTTTTTTTTTAGACTTTATTTGGTCATCATACCGTTCAACACCACGAGACAACGAAGCTACTGAAAAGTTTATTGAAATAGTGACTTCTGAGCTTTACCAAAAAAAATTAAAAGATAAAAGAACACCAAAGTATAAAGTTTGGCAAGACATCAGTATTGAACTACATAACCTGGGTTACAAAGTAGCTGCAAATGAAAAGGAAAGTGGTAAAAAATGCGATCAGAAGTGGAGGATTTGGAAAATAAATACATTGCTTTTAAAGATAATGCAAATAAAACAGGAGAAGCTGCAAAAAAGAAGCCAATGTATTATGATGTTATGCATGCCATCAAAGATAAACATAAGGTCTCCCCACCCACATTGCTAGACACTCTTAAAGCAACTAGTACAATAATAACTCCATTGAATAATACTTTAGAAAGTACTTCACAAGCTAATATAGTAAACTTTGAAATAGCTAATCCAATTACAACAAAAGGTATGCATAAAAACCCCAAAACTAGTCTTAAACCAAAATCTAAAGTGAGTCCATCCGATATATTGGAACACATGACCAAACAGCGTAAAGAAGTCCTCGACATGCAGGAAAAACATTATGAACGTATCAAAGAAAATATGATTACACAAAATAATCAAAGACAAGAAATGTGAAATATATTTGCTAAGCTAGTAGAAAATACCACTAGGAAGAAACGTAGAAGATCTGATTCTGATTAATGAAATATGTCATTTTATTCTTTTTTTTTAATGATCTCTAAGGGAGTGATATCAAAGTTACTGTATTATTTTTTTTTGTTTTACATTTTTTAGATTATAAATTTGCGAAATAGTTTACTCTAAGTCAAGTGGAACTTTTAATGTTAGGATGTTTTTATGTTTTGTTAATTTGTTAGAAAGTGTTAAATTTTAATTAATATATAAATAAAAGGAAACTGTTATAAACTAAATATCCCTACACTAGGGAACTAGAATGTTTAATAGTTCATCTCTTTTTGCATTGCCAGATTCAGTTCCATACATTGCATTTTGTATATCAGTTTGAGAAGTGTTATCTAGCTGGACATCATTAACAATCTCATCTAATTCATCAGCATTCACCAAACAAAAGTTATGTAATACACAACATGCAAGGATTATGTAAGGAGCTCTTGAAATATTTGTGACATTCAGGTATAATAATCTACGCCATCTTCCTTTAAGTAATCCAAAACTTAATTCAATGTTGACTCTTGTTTGAGAATGAAAATAGTTCCATTTCTTTTTTCTTGCTGATAGATTTCCATAATTTTTATATGGGGTTATAAGCCATGATAAGTTTGGATAAGCTGAGTCACCCAATAAATAATATTTGTCATAGAATAAAGAGCTTGGCCCTTCATTTTGCATAGTACTGAATATTTCAGAATTTTTAAACACCCGAGCATCATGAACACGACCTGGATACCCAACACAAATATTTGTAAATATCTTGTTGGATGTACAAATTGCTTGAATAATTATACTTTTGGTCATCTTTCTGTTTGTGTAGCTGTCTTGTTCTGAAGATGGAACTTTACAGAAATATGACAACCATCAATCACACCAATGACATCTACAAAAGTACAAATAATAAAGGTGAAAACATTTTGCTGTATAATAGTGAGTTTAATGAGTTTTGGCAGTAAGCCAACAATATGTAATATAATACAATTTTTTATTTATTTAACTTACTAGGAATATTATCTCTCACTCTAAATCCTTCTTCAATTATTGTACATTCTTTAATGTTTGGCCAAGTGATAAATTTTTTAGCCATACTATTACAAAGACAATTAGTGACTTCTTGAACAATATTATAAACAGTTGAAGTTGCAGTATTGAACTGGTTAACAATGGCATGCATAGACATTTCTCTACCATAATACCGGAGACTTATAAGAACTTTTTTATGAAATGAGACAGGCTTATTTCCTCCTGTGAATGGTTTTATTAATTCAGAATTGACAATTAATGCTGTTAATAAATTTCCATATGTATCTTGTGTCATTCTAAATAATTTGTGAAAATCTCTAGTAGTAAATTTGTTGATCCAATCTTCACTCCATGGTTGAGACTTGTTTTAACTTAGCCCCAAAGGGTGAATTAATTATTGGAGAGAGAGGTGGAAATGTGTATGATGAACACACAAACTCAGATAAAGAAAATGTGACTACACTTTTTGGTACAAATGCCTTAGGAAAATGGGCACCTCCTCTCACAATATTCAAGTATGAAAGGATTCCAGCAACCCTAGTTAAATCTGCACTATCTGGTTGGGGAATTGGAAAATCTGAGACAGGGTGGATGACCTCGGAAACTTTTTTTGAATATATGGCTAATATATTCTTACCATTTATAAATGAATCAAATATTGTTCGACCAGTAATTGTTTTTTTGGATGGTCACAAGTCACACCTCAGTTTACACTTGAGTAAATTTTGTCGTGAAAATGGTTTGATATTAGTTGCATTATATCCTAACTCAACACACATATTGAAACCACTTGATGTTGCTGTATTTGGCCCCCTCAAATCAAGATGGAAGAAAATAGTGAAGCAGTGGCGTGTTGACAATGAAAAGGAAGTATCTAAATTTGATGTACCAACGGCTCTATCTCAAATTATATATGATAAAGAAATGGCTAGTAATATCAAGTCAGGATTTCGTGCAACTAGCATATATCCTTACAATGCAGATAATATGGATTATTCCAAAATTATTATAAGAACTGTGCCAGAGCATGACACTTTAATTAATGATGATAATATGAAATATCACCTACAATATGTTGAATCAAAAATTAAAAAAATTAATGTTAACCTGTTAGATGAATTTAAGAGAACTAGAAGAGGACAATATGAATGGGATGGAAATGAAAACGCAACATTGTTGTTTACATTGTGGTCACAAATCATGGATGATGTAAATAACCCTGAGAATGAGATAACCACAGATATAATAACACTAACACCAACATCAAATTTAAATCTAAATCCAGAAATGTGGTTGAATACACTCTCATGTAGTCATGTAGAAGACAACCTAACAGGAGAAAACCCAATCATCCCTACAGAGAATACAACTCCAGAGTCTATAGTTATAGTTCCAACCAAACGATCCTTAACTACTGTTTTTAATAATATTATAAAGTGGCCAGTACAACCCTTATCTAAAACAACCAGAAAAAAAGAATATACACCTAGCGTAATAACGTCAGACAAGTGGGTTGAATTCCATGAAATTAAAATTGAAAGAAAAAGAGGAAAAAGAGAGAAAAAAGGAAGAAAAGAAATTAGCAGCATTTGAAAAAAAAAAGAGTTAGAGAGAAAAAAAATAGAAAGGGCACAAATTAAAGCTAACAAAAATATTAAACAGAAAATCACTATCGATACTGAAAGCTCTGAATCAGAAAAAAGTTGGGATTCAAAAATGAATGTTACTTTTGAAGAACCTTTAGCTCAGCCTTTAAGTTCAGATCAAATTCTATCGGTTTCAAGCTATCAACCAGATTTAAATACTGGTGATTATATTTTAATAGAATTTGAATCAATTGGAAAAAGAAAACAAGTATAAATATGTTGCCACAGTAGTTAGTATTATTAGTCAAAGTGAATATGAAGTGCAATGCTTTGAAGCGAACAATGAGGAAAACACTGAGTTTATACCTATTGAAAATGATATTTCAATTTTCAACAGTTGACTTAACACACATATTGTTCAAATTACCATTTCCAGAACTTTGTCTTCAAAATAGACACCTTATTTCAGTGTTTCCAGGTGTAGTTGATGTATTTGAAAAAAAATAGATATTAAGACTGAATGTGAACCAAATGTAAACAAATGTGATTTACTTATTACCTATTTAATTATTACCAGAAAGTTATTTACGAGGGGTAAACCACTAGCGGTAATCAGTGTACAAAATCTTGGTAATCATGGGTAATCACTGGTAATCATTGGTAATCAATGGTAATCAATGGTAATCATTGGTAATCAATGGTAATCATTGGTAATCAATGGTAATCATTGGTAATAATTGAACTTATTTTTGGAAAAATATTATTTGCACATTAAATTAAAACAAAAAATAAATATGTGATGAAGTCTGTTATTTTAAACTTTTATCACAGTCACCCCACATATTTAAACACAATAAAAAAAATGATATTTTTTTCAAAAATTGTTTTCTAAATCTTATGATAATTACTAATATTAGTAGGCTTAAAAAAAAATGTGTTCAGTATATTCAGGAAAGCACAAATGCTCCCTTGCTCAAATATCACATTTATACTCGCATTTATACTTTTTTAATATTGAAACATAATTATGTAAATATCTATAGTTGCAATCAGTTCCATATACCTATGCGGATGTTTTAAAAGCTTTTTAGATTCTAAGTGGAACGGAGGATTTTATAGTTTAATAATAATGTGTATTATTTTATTTTGTCTAGAAACATTTTTTCGGGTTGTAGATTGGGTCCGAAAATTTTATCTATCATCTATTTGGATCCCTATGTATCTCGAAATGGTACTTTAAAGAGGTCATTTTTTTCTAAAGTTCAAACCTCAGTTCAAAGTTTTTCCCGAAGTTTTTCCAATAATGTATGAGGAAAAACACGTTTACTGTTACTCCGCTCAAAATCGTTTTATTGAAGAAATGATATAGTATATTGCTTTAAGATCTCGTTTAAAATTTAACATACGCACCCCACTTAACATAGAAAAGACGAGTACACTCGACCTCCTACTGCACAACAAGAGCGACTCTCCCGGTTGTTTTTATCATTGATAATTGTAATAAGTTTTTTAGGTTTTTTATATTGAAAAAAGCTCGGAAAAAAAGTATAATGATTACCTACCACAATAGTGTAAAAATAGTATGATTATTAAAAAAATCGGTTAAGTCACTCTAGCTGTGCTCAGTGATTGTGGAAGTTTGTTCGGTAAACGAAAAAAAAAGTCCTCAGTAAAAGTACCCGTTAATAAAATTGTACCTACATAAATTGTTAATTATTTTTTTAAATATACTTAGTAAATAAGTTGAATATATTAAGTATTTAAATAATACTAGAACAAATTAACATGTATAATATTATTATTACTATATATATTAATATAGTTATAGATATTATCCGAGTGTTTACACTTCTAAGTTTTATTTTAAGAAAACCAATTATTGTAAGATCGACGAAAACATCGATAATACGATATTACGATATGTCGACCGTCATAATATTTCATTTGATTGTAATAAATATAAATATATTTAAAAACCCTTCCCAGAAAAAAATCGTATCTACGTCGCTGTTCGTATTTCTTGAAATAACTTTATAAAATACGGCCATTTCACTATTCATGTAGGGTAAAGTGTACAGTTATTGGCACTGGTATAGTTATTGGCACTACGAAAGTGTTTTATTTTTAATTAGTGAGCATTTTGACTCTTAAATGATTTTTTTTTTTTATTTATCTGGCTAAACTGATCATGTCGTGTAATCCAGTGTTCCCGATGATAATAATTTATCATTAATTTAGTTATTATCAAAGTTTTCAGTCGTCTCAGAGATCTCGAATATTTGGTAAGAATTTACTGTTTTTATTAGTAGACTATACTTAGGAAATAAGCTCTTAAATAAGTTATAACTACTCTAAGTACTAGCATAATGTATATTTTAGTTCTTAAGAACATTTTCTATCAATCAATAAAATATTCAATAATTTATTTTTATTATTTTTGAGAAAAATTGGTATGCCAATAACTGATATGTACATATTTAAATTTTTTGTTATTGGCATAGGGTGCCAATTATTGAAATGGACATAAAATGTATTTATTTATTTATTGGCACTTAATTTTAAAAGTATAGAACCTGAGTACAATTTAACTTGACTGGTCATTAAATATTACTTGTACTTAAATAATGATGTATTATTGTTATTTATAGAAATGCCAAAAAAAAGGAAAAATTTTTCTCAGTCAAATTTGACTGCTGCTGTTGAAGCAGTAGTGGAACATTTCTACTTTACCGGGCACCCTGTTTTTTTGTAATTTTTTTGGTGGACTTAGTCATTTTTTGGCTGAAAAAAACGTTGGTGAAATCAGAATTTGGCGCATGAAGTTATTTTGGTAGTTATAGCTAATTGAAGCTTTAACATTATATAATACCCCTTAAATACATACAAGGCTGCTCAGTTACTACTTATAACGATGGCGCAATGATAACAACGCGCTCACACTACCTGCATACACGGGGTTCGACCCCCTCCGCGAGCGGAAAGTTTTTTGCACTTTTTTTAAAAAAAAACAACTAAAATTTTACAATTATTGTAATATAAAATTTTCCAAAAATTTTTTATACGATTTAAACAACTAAGGATTTAACTTAGAAAATTACGTTTACATCGTACAACGATGCCTCGCTAGCGGCACTCGTCGCTACGCTCCTCGGCGCCGTCGCTCCGCTCCGCAAATCGAAAATATCCCTCAACTTGTTGTGTAAAACCACCTAAGGTAAATTTAAGATTTCAAAAATAATGTTTTTAAGTAGGTACATTTACTGCCAACACCTTTGAAATGGAAAACATCGTGTATTAATTTTATTTTAACGACATTTATTAAGAAGGATAATAATATGCTTTGAGCAAAAACAACTTAGATAAGATTACAAATTTACAAAAGAATAACTGTTGAGCTGTAATAGTTTTTACTAATAGCTAATAAAAAAAAAAAAAAAAAAAGATTACAAAAGTTAAATGATGGTTAAAGACTGAACAGTGTTGTACATTCTGTGTACCATAGTGGTTCTTTATAAATTGTATAAATTTAATAGTTTACTGTAGTACTGTAGTTATTAGTCATAATGAGTATCCCATACATAAATTTATACGACTTAAAAGAATTATCTATACGCAATGACGGATTAGGATTAATAGAAATGCTACAACGTTTCGGTGCATTACACACTGAACCAAAATGCGTAAGAGGTCACAAAATGAAATTAACACGCGATGAAGCATCCCTCGACAAATATAAATGGAAATGCAGGGAAAAACAAAATAAGAAAAATAAAAGTTGTAACTATAGGTAAATATTAAAACTAAATTAAACTACTAAATTATAATTACTAATATTAAAACTAAACTAAATTAAAATAAATACAAAATAATTATAATACACTTTATAGCATGTCGTTGAGAAAAAACACGTTTTTTGGAAAGTCGCACCTGTCGTTGTTGGACATTTGTGGTTTCGTAAATTTATGGGTGATGAATTGTTCATTCCCAGTACTCCAACTACAATTGAGGCTGGCGAATCAAACAATCGTGGACTGGGCATCCTTTTGTCGCGAAGTCGTTTACGATTATATGATTGTTAGGAAGGTAATGATTGGTGGTCATGGACATACCGTTGAAATTGACGAGTCCAAATTTGGTAGACGTAAACACCATCGAGGCCACCGTGTCGAGGGACAGTGGATGTTTGGAGGCTATGAAAGGGAAACAGGAAACTGTTTTATGATTCCTGTTGAAAATCGTACCGCCGACACATTATTAAAAATAATTAAAGATTGGGTAAAGCCTGGAACTACAATTATATCGGACTGTTGGAAGGTATTTCTATCATAGTGAACTTGTAAATACAGATGAATTTCTAATCTCCTAATTTTAGGCTTACAACACTTTAAACAACCAAGGCTATGTTCATCTGAAGGAGAATCACAGCCTGCATTTCAAGGATCCCGATACAGGAGTTCATTACAATGCTATAGAAAGCTCATGGAGACACGCTAAAGCTTCTATTTCTCAATATTGTAGAAAGAAAGAGTTTTACGCAGGTTACCTAGCCAAACACATGTTTCAAAAAAAATGTCGGGCCTTTAAATTAGATCCCACAGCTGAATTTTTTAAACAAGCAGGGATTTTATACAGCGGCACAAGCAACATCAATGAATATGACGACAGCGAGAACGACGGCAACGACAACGGATACGACGACGGCAACGACGACGGACACGACGACGGCAACAACGACGACAACGACGACGACAGTGACGATGATAGCGCACCCGGATATACTTTTTTAAAATTAATTATGCATTTGAAATCGTTAACAATAAAAAAAACACATAACACATAACACATAACACGTAGCAATTGTAATCATAGAGTCTAAGTTTTACTAAAAACAGTTTAACACGCGTGAGTACTTAACGTTTGTAAACGGATACAAGTGAAAAACTGAAAAATTAAAATACCCACGTGTACCGTCGGTACAATAAAATCAAAAAATATTCACAATACAACACAATATTACGTCATTATTACGCGCGCAATCATATTTCTTATCACATAATCTCATCATGATCATATTATCAATTTACCATTATCATGAGTAATAATAATGAGTTCTGTGGTACAACCGCAGAGCACAGACACGAGAATAATCCAAGTCCCGGCGCATGCGTACTAACTTATTCACCATCATTGAAAAAATGAAAAAAAAAATGCAAAAAATTGGAATCACCGAGGGAGTATTGAACCTGAGACGGTCTCCTCTCGACGGTAACGCGTTACCCACCGCACCACGGCATAATTACAACACGGCGTTAAATGTAGACTATTTAAGCAAAACTATCAAACTTCAATGTGCTATAACTTCCAAACTAATGATCTGCGCCAATTTTCGTTTGCACCATCGTTTTCACCGTTAAAAAATACATAGAACTAAAAAAACAAAAATCTTAAATTTAGGGTGCCCGGTAAAGTAGAAATATACCGCAGTAGTCAATGAAGGCATGTCAAAAAAGTCCGCAGCAAAAGTTTTCTGTATCGAGATCTACATTACAATAAAGACTTAAAAATCCTGACCAAAAGGTATCATGTGGACCAGCTCCAGTATTATCTGAGGAAGAAGAAAAAATATTAGAAAAATGGATACTGGAAAGTAGTCGGAAAGGATTTCCTCAAAGAAAAGAAGATCTTTTAGTTAGTGTGAAACAATATCTAGTAGTGATGGGCACTATCGAATAGTCACTATCGAACTATTCGATAGTAGTTCACTATTCGAACTATTCGATAGTCATTCCAAAACTATTCGAATAGTTAAAACATTCGAATAGTCACGATATATTCGATAGTTTAAAAACTATTCGAATAGTTATTCATTCGAATAGTTCGAATAGTCGAATAGTCGAATAGTTNTGAGAAAGAAGAAAAAATATTAGAAAAATGGATACTGGAAAGTAGTCGGAAAGGATTTCCTCAAAGAAAAGAAGATCTTTTAGTTAGTGTGAAACAATATCTAGACAAAAACGAGCGAACTACTATTTTTAAAAATAATTATCCTGGTAATTTTTTTATGTTAAATACATTTTTATAATATTATAACCGTTTATTATTCTTTTTATAGATATTGGATGGTACAAATCTTTTATGAAGCGTCATCCAAATATATCTGTCAGGACAAGTGAACATGTGACAGCTGCAAGTGCCTGTATTAGTGAACAGGACATAAAAAAATGGTTTGAAGGTATTAAACAGTATTTAAAAGAAGAAGGTTTGTATAATATATTGAGTGATCCAACAAGAATTTTTAATGGTGAAGAAACCGGGTTTTCCTTGTGTCCCAAAACAAAAGCAGTTTTAGCTCCCAAGGGCTGTAAAGATGTATATGAAGTCTCAGTAGGGAATTCAAAAGAAAATTTGACCGTTATGTTTGTATTTAGTGCAGCTGGAGTAATGTGTCACCCGATGGTTGTGTACAATTACAAAAGAATTCCTCAAAATATTTTGAAATCAGTACCGACTAACTGGGGAATTGGTCTGTCTGACAGTGGTTGGATGAAATCAGAAACGTTTTATGAGTTTATTGCAAATATTTTTCATCCTTTTTTACTACAGAATAACATAAAACTACCTGTAATTTTATTTGTTGATGGCCATAAAAGTCATCTCACATATCAACTTAGTACACTTTGTTCTGACTTACAAATTATTTTAGTTGCCCTATACCCTAATTCGACTAGGATATTACAACCAGCCGACGTAGCTGCTTTTCGCCCACTCAAAGAAGGTTGGAAAAGAGGAGTATTTGAGAGGCGGAAACAAAATTATTCAATGGCGGCTGTAACTAAAGTAGATTTTGCTCCAATTTTACAAAATGTTATTAAAGAAACCATAACACAAGACATTTTAAAAAATGGGTTTAGAGCTTGTGGACTATATAAATGGAATCCAAATAATATTAATTTTGATAAATGTCTTGGCAAAAATCTAGTAGCTGCAGTTGATGAACATTGTTTGACTGAAAATAATTTGAACTTTGATAAATTGTGTGATATTATTGGTCCAGAAATTGTAACAAAATGTAATAGTATTAACGATTCTATAGAAATTACACCTATATCTGAAGAATTGCAAGCATTAATGAATGTGTACAATTTATTAAAAGAGAAGTCAAATAATAAAGGTGAAATTTGTATTCAACATCAAGATGATATTATAATTGATAATCTACATGAAGATAATATTATAATTGATAATCAAAATCAAGATGATATTATAATTGATAATCTATTTCTAGATGACAACAATTACGATAGTAATATGTTTTGTGTAGATCAAAATGATATGTATGTTGAACAGAGTACTAGTGCAGTTATTTCCCCTGAAAATAATATTGATATTTCAATTACAGCTGATACAAATGTATTACAAGAATCTGAAGACAAAATTATCAAACCACGCGTTAAAATAAAAAAACTTCAAGTGTCTCCAATCGACACTTGTCTTATATGGCCTATAACTCCTGAACGTAAGGGTAAGAGAAATACTGAGAGGGTTACATTTGTAATTTCTTCTGATAAGTGGCAAAGGATGTATGAAAAAAAAGAACAATCAAAAAGAAATATTATAGAACTAAAAGAAAACAGGAAAAAACAAAGACTGGAGAGTAAATTAACTAAAAATAAAATTGTGCCTGTAACTAAAAGCATTACAACAAGAAAAAATGTAGTCAGAAATATTTTTACACCATTGGCTACAAATAAAAAACCAGCTGAAACTATCACTAGTGGACTTTTTGAAAATTCTAAAACAAAACAATTTTCTGATGTTTTGACCCTAAACACAAATGAATGTAGTAACAAGTCGAGTTCTTCTAGTATTTATAAAAATACAGGACTGTGTTTTAGATGTGGACATAGTTTAAATGATGTTCAAAACGGTTTGTCATGTGAGTTTTGTTCATACATTTATCATTTAAAATGTTTAGATAAAAATGAAATCTGCAATGAAGGATCAATGGAATCAATTTTATTTATATGTAACTCCTGCCAAAAAAATTTAACCAGCATACCAATGTGATTTATATTTTTAGTTTAATATATTAAGATTTTACATGTACCAACAACCTACTTATTTAATATTTATTGTTATGACAAGGTTCTATGTTTTTTTTTTAGTTTATTGAGTTCTAAGTTCTTAATATTTTTAAATTTCATTATGAAAAGTAAATCATGTAATTGTGTTTTATTTAATAGGCATTATTTGTTAACTATTCAATTTGAGAAAATGTTAAGACTTAAATGAGTGATAATAAAACAAAAGACTGTTTTAGT